TATATATATATATATATATATATATATATATATATATATATTCTCTAATATTTTCGGTAAGAGTAATTATCGTAACTGATGACGAGAGAGGAAACTTATACAAGAGAGAATACGATATCTTCAACGTAATTTCTTTGCAATTTCTTCGTAATTTCTCAAGCTGACTTAACGTAATTTGTCATCACTTGTATACATGTAATGTTGTATTTTTTTCTTTTGTAACATTTCGCTTGTATCTGCCTATTATATTTACAAGGGGCATCGGGAGATTCCAAAATGTTGAGGTGTGTGCAACGAGTGGCCCATTAGCTCAGTTGGTTAGAGCGTCGTGCTAATAACGCGAAGGTCGCGGGTTCGATCCCCTCATGGGCCAGATTTTTTTTTCTTTTCCATTGTACCAAACGCACGTATTTTCCTAACTTGACATTAATTACATTACAAACAAATGATAATATAATGCCGTCCTCATGATAATAACTTTTCTTTCTGAGGGTAACTTTTCTGAGGATATTTCGTTATTCTTTAACCCGTAACAGATACCATGCCTTTTTAATCAAGCTATATGTACAATGGGGTCCGGCGGACCACAATAATATATAACATGGAGAAATATTATAAGCAAACATGACAATATTTATAATCTATTATTTTCTCATTTTAATGTAATTATGCTCTATGCAAATGCGCTAGGTTGAATTGATACATATACTATAGTAAAACTAACTCAACTCGACCTAGGGTGCGTTCAGATTCCCTACCCAGGTGCACTCTGTTATTAGAAACACTGTAGTATATGTCACATATACTATAGCACTTCTTGTATTAGAGTGCATTCGGGTAAGGAATCTGAACGCAGCCCTAGAGATGCCCGATTCTTAATCAATTCGATTCTTTCCCTAACAAATTTAGGGAAAAAGGGTTGTTCCTGCTACTTGCATGTTTCATATTTTTCGCTTTTAAAAAGAGATGGACGCCTAATCAGACGCTTGGAAGAAACAATCGAGTTAGTTATCTTGCTTTTGCTTCTTCCAAACATTCCAATATACTTTTGTCTGATTTTAAATACGAAAAGTGCGAAGAATGCAAACAACACGAATAAGCCTATTTTTGGGGAAAGAATCGAATCGATTCAGAATCGGGCACCTCTAAAGCCCGTATCAGACTATCGACTGCACCGGCCGACCCGACTGCCGACTACGACTGCCGACTCTCAATGGACCAATCATAGTGAGGTGCCGAGTCAGCGCCTTACTGTGATTGGTCCATTGAGAGGCGGCTGTCGTAGTCGGCAGTCGGGTCGGCCGGTGCAGTCGGTAGTCTGATACGAGCTTAACTCGACCCAACTCTATTTCTGAAGCATCCATGGCCTAACATCCAACAAAGAAATCACTAGATTATTTTTATTTTACCATATAAATACTACAAATACGCACACTTACTTTTCACGTTTTAGCCTACATGGTTGATAGCTAAAACGTGAAAAATACTATAATATGTATATGTACTATAGTAGTATCATCATGCGCAAATATGTAAATTGTAATATTACGCATGCGTATTCCACAATTCAAAACAATGTGGACAACTGCTTCAGTGAATTTTACTTTGTATGGTTGCATACTTTTTTAAAATTGAAATTATATAATAAAGAATTTTACATAAAATATACAAAGAAAAGATTACAATACATTATATTAATATTTAACAGTATATTATGCATTATAAATACAGATGTGCATTAAATAAAACAAGTTTACAATAATTATTACAAATATTTAAAAATTGCTCACTTTTCACAATTTAATGCTAGGGAAAAAAGTTATATGATCGATAGTAAAATTAAACTCACGTGCGTTTAAATTCCTTATTCGGGTACACACTATTAATAGAAACACTATAGTATATGTTACATATACTATAGCACTTCTAGTAATAGAATATACCCGGGTGGGGAATTTGAACACAGCTTGAAAAGATTCATGATTGATGCCCTGGATTGCTTGCTAGATGGAAATACTTTATTCTGAAGGGTTCATTTTCAGAAATGCAATCAGTGCAGAGATTTCCATCCAGCAAGCAATCCAGCAAACATGAAAACAAGTATCGTGAGCCGCTGGCTTAACGTGAATTATAGGATTTTCGTATGCGCACCTCATTCGTATGACGTTGAGAATTGCCACCTAGTCTCTTATTGGCTGCGTTCCGAAATTCACTGTCAGTGCTGAAATTCTATAATATACGTCACATGAACTATAGATTTTCAGTACTGGCAGTGAATTTCGGAACGCAGCTCAAATCGTGCGCTTGACATTTTTATCTACACGACTCTATTATCCAAAGCGCGAAGAGAGCCATTTGACAACGCACGTTCGACTTTGCGAATGCGAGAAAAACGGCGAGAGAGAGTATCTTCTTTACTTATCATCGTCGTGGTACCGGCGGACAAGTTTCGGGCTACCAAATCGTTGTATCGATTACACAGAGCGGTCGACTCCTTGAAAGCCTGTCCTACTCGTTCGTGCTGTGATGTACAGTGTACTTGGTAAGGTTATGTTGTCTTCCCGTTACCCCAGCAGCCTCACACCGCGCAATCCTCGGCATTCACGGTGATTGCTCGGTGTGAGGTGAGCGCAGGCAAGACAAAAGGACAAAGAATTGCAACGTGCAATTCTCGCGCGGGATCGGTGCCAGTGCGTCGCGACGTTTGTGATAACACGAAAGAAGCGGGTAAAAATGGAGCGCGCTACACTCCCGACATACTCGTCGATCGTATGTGCAAGCTGCCGCAGTGGTCTCGGGCTCAAAACGGAGCTCGCTATGAGGAGATAATATGTGTCGAATGTTGTTGTTGTTTCGCGTGGGCTTCCGCAGTGCTGACCGCTACGGCGCGGACCAATGTCTTGTAGAGGACGAGGAGGAGAAGAAGGAAGGCGAAGAGTCGTTTCCGCAGCACTCTCTGCCTCTGCTGTTGCTGTCGCCGCTGCCACTTGTATGTCGAAACGACACAACACTCGAGAACGCGTCGATTATTGTGGACTCCAGAATCTCGAGAACGAACTCGAGAAATGTCTGTCACCGTCTTGCGAAGATTTTGTCTCTGCGAACAATAATACGACAAAGGACGGAGAGGAGGAAGAGGAGGAGGAAGCGGAGGAGGAGGAGGAGGAAGAGGTGATGGTGGTCGCCGCGGCGACGACGGTGGCGGCGGAGGAAGAGAAAGTCGAACCGATAGTAGCGGTGGTGGTCGGCGAGAGAGATGAACAAAACGTCAGAACAGGTGAGATCTCGATAGTAGCTGATGATTGTCAAAATGCGAGAGAGACGACTGAAGCGAACAGTAGGAGCAGCTGCGTCGTCGAGACTAGTTCTGTAGTGGATAAGTTCTCGGTTGATTTTGAGAAATGGTTCAAGACGCGCGCAGAACCGGCGAGCATGGACTTGGATGCCAAGGTTGCGGAAGATGTGGATCGGTACTTGAGCGCGGAAGAAGCATTGTCGCCACACGTTTTTTTGGGCAAGGATCCTTACGGGTTGTCGATCGACATTGATCTGGCCAAGAAGACTGACCTCAACCTGCCCGATCCGATGCTGCAGGACGAGTTGCCGAACGAGAAAGTAGACGAGTATATATTGTCGGAATTCCAGCTGTACCATCTGGACCCATTGACGTTGTCGTCTGACGACATGATGGTAGCTGGCGAGATCTTGCCGTCCATTAGCAGTCAGTCAGCATTGAACGCGGAGCAGAAGAACGTTGTCTTGCAGACAGGGTTGCGAAGCGGTGACGAGACAATCAATGGGAAATCCGTTCAAGCTGCTGTTAACGAGTCGCGCGTCACAGATACGAAAGATAGAGCAGGAAAGACAAAGAGCGAGAATAAAGTGAAGGCAATGAAAGATCGCGGTGAGCAGCTGGCTGCTGTAGCGCAGCCTTCAGTAAACAGCGCGAACCTCGTTACGGGAGTTGTAGTGCCGATTGTAGCGGCAAACTCGTCGAATGCTATGGTACAAATGCAGAGGCAAGGTATCTCTAGTGCAGGAATATCAGGTGCGATAATGGAGCAACTAAAACTGAAAGCTCGAGTGAAACTCGAGCCACGTATCATCAAAAAGCGGCGGAAGATCCAGTCGGAACGATTGGAGAAACGACTGGACAGGCATGGCCTGTTCAATAACGGCAAAACTTTCGTCCGTGACGAGGGAGCCGGTGTTCAGCAGAACGACATGATGGCCATGGTCGCCATATCGACCGACAAGACCTCCAACATGACGCAAATCGTCATCAGTACCGGCACGGAGCGGCAGGTCTATCAGGGCAAGACGTCGGAGTTGATCGAAGCCACCGGCAATTTTCCGATGCTGCCCAAGATTGACACCTCCGTCATGGTCTGGAACGGTATGTCGAACGTTGAGTGTAATGGTCACGACGGTAGTAATCCAGGTATTAGTCAGTACGAGATCGTGATATCCAAAGCCCTGGAGGAGCTGGGCATCACTGATGACAGTCTGCAACCTGTATGTCTCACCGAGCACGACAAAGTGTGGTTCTGTCCACAAGACGATTGCAACAGACAATTTGGCAGGCTTTATACCCTGAAGGGCCATTTGCTGGCCCACTACGGGGTCAGGCCGTTCAAGGTACGTTGAAAGATCGTCGTTTCCTCGCTCCTAATCTATCGTCCAATCCAACAATCTTGTGTGATTATTAAAAACAAGCAGCGGACATAATTGTGCTGCTTCTTGCTCTTGCTTTTCTTCCTTCTCTGTCTTTGATCTGTCTCGTTATTTGCGTCTTTTTTTTGCAGTGCGACCACGAGGGTTGCACCTGGGCCTTTTACTCCGAGTTCAAGCTGAAGCGGCACAAGGAGACACATCTGAAACGTAAGGATCACGTGTGCGAGGTGGAAGGTTGCAATCGCAGATTCACCACGATTTACAACCTGTGGAGCCACGCAAAACTGCATAGTCGTCCGAATCGGATCGTTTGTCATGTCCCCGAT